ACACACACACACACACACACACACACACGTTAACTTGCCTTTGAAAATGCATTGAAAATAATGTTGATATCACACATCTTCCACAGCTGACTTATGCTGATTAACAGCAGTTAAGATTGCTGGACCAGCAGCATGGTTTTACATCAGGATGTGTGTTTCCACTTGATTAAACTCCCGGTCCAAATGTCACACAGCCATTGATTTCAGAAATACTGTAGCTAATATTAGTCCATATGGACACTCCCAAACACCTCGCTATTCTTTTAAAGGTCAGACTGTAGACCACAGCTCAAGAAAAACGATTTTCTTTCAATGAAAAAACATTAATAATGTAAAAAATAATCCATGATAAAAAGGCACTTTGATTTGTGTTATGCCCTTACCAAAACGTAGTATACTTCAAGTTTATTTTAGTAAGCATACTTAAGTAAAGTTCAAGTATATTTTTAAGTAAACTTTATGTAGTAAGTATACAAATATCAGTGTACTAGTAGTATACTTGTAAGTGTACTATTTCAATACTCCTTGGGACTAAATTGGCCCACTTTCTAGTATATAAAAGTATACTTTTAAGTGTACTTTAAGTATAACAGTAGTAAACTTTGAGTACACAACTAGTTTACATCAAAATGTTTAGTTTGTACTGCAACTATACTAAAAGTGAACTTATAGGTATACTGATAGTTTACTAATTAAATACTTGTAGTAGCATTTTTAGTACACAGCTATCGTGTGTAAATATATCTTAAACCAGGCAGAACGAGGGACTAATAACTTTGTTTGTTTTAGAGCCCATCGTATGTGTCTGCCGCCCAGTCATCCAGAAATCCTGTGCAAATCAAGCGTCCGGAGAAACCTGCGATTTTAGATCTCTATATTCCTCCTCCTCCTTCCATGCCATACAGCCCACGGTCAGTATCTGTTTCTCTGATAACGTATCACCTTCATATTAAATCAATTATTATGTGGCTCTGTTCCAAAACGTAGTGAGCTGCCTTGCAGTACATTACAAATTATGTAAACTTAGATCAAAATATACTTCAGTTTTGACACGTATGCAATACAGGCGCTCGACACATGCACAGTTTCATCATTGTCCAATGCCTGCGCTATTTTTCTTCAGAATTTAGGATTGACTAAAATGTCTCATACTGATTTAAACTAGAGTTGTGGGGATCTCTTCCTCACACAAATGTGGCTGTCTAAATTTTAGCTGTCTGCTGTAATCTCACTGCCAGGTAGTGTTACCACCTTGTGGAAAGAAAAATTAAGCCGCAAGTGCAACCTTAGCCTACAGAATATTTAGAAAAATTGGTTACACTATGCAGGTACTATATTGGTGACGATATTTACGCCACATGGACTGTATGCATACTTAGCATACTGAAGTGTACAATGTGCTTACAATTGATTCCAGTAGTTTTATGTTAGCATTTTGCTAAGCTATTTGCACTATTGGTGCATTCTAGCCATGACAGAAAGATTGTATTAATGAGTTAAATGCACATCTGCCACCACGAAGTCGTAATTACGAGTGGGAGACTCAGAACTTTCTCTAAGCATGGATTTTTCGAGTAGGTGACGTGTTGGATGCATTAGATGCAACCTCTGTATTGATGGTAAATTTGAACTTTTTTTAAATTTACAATAAATCTAGCTAAGCTGCAAGTATAAAATATGACATTAGTATACAGTTATGGTAGAATATATAGAGTAACGATTCAATTTACAGCATCTTCATAAATTGATTAAAAAGCAAAAACACTTCTGATGCACATTCTTTATTCATCATTTTGTAGAAGTAGGTTTGTAGAAATCTTGCTGGATTTTTCGTAGAAAAGGTGCATCTTGCTCTGGCCAAAGTGACTCACCTGACGTCGTAATTATGACTTCCCAACTTATAAGAACAAACTTTCTTTATCTCTGTATGTGTGCAGGGATGCAGAGATGAGTGAATATGCAGGAGTAAAGATGAGACCGAAAGGTTCAGCGTCACCCAACTCATCTCTGGATTTAGCTAGTAGACGGTGCTCAAATATCAGTGACTACAACAGCAAACCTAGCGTAAACCCAGCTGAGTTCGCCGTCCCACAAGCGCGACTGAGACAGCGGACCCCATCTAGAGGTTAGTACCTGTTCAACCCATGTGACTTTATTTTGTAACATCACCAAAGCAGCCGCACTGATAACTCGTGTGAACTTACTATCAAAGATGACACCCAAACTTTTAACCTGTTTGGATACAGGCACTGGGCACAAAATTATCAATATTTAGTATACAGTTACGGTAGAATATATAGAGTAACGATTCAATTTACAGCATCTTCATAAATTGATTAAAAAGCAAAAACACTTCTGATGCACATTCTTTATTCATCATTTTGTAGAAGTAGGTTTGTAGAAATCTTGCTCTGGCCAAAGTGACTCACCTGACGTCGTAATTATGACTTCCCAACTTATAAGAACAAACTTTCTTTATCTCTGTATGTGTGCAGGGATGCAGAGATGAGTGAATATGCAGGAGTAAAGATGAGACCGAAAGGTTCAGCGTCACCCAACTCATCTCTGGATTTAGCTAGTAGACGGTGCTCAAATATCAGTGACTACAACAGCAAACCTAGCGTAAACCCAGCTGAGTTCGCCGTCCCACAAGCGCGACTGAGACAGCGGACCCCATCTAGAGGTTAGTACCTGTTCAACCCATGTGACTTTATTTTGTAACATCACCAAAGCAGCCGCACTGATAACTCGTGTGAACTTACTATCAAAGATGACACCCAAACTTTTAACCTGTTTGGATACAGGCACTGGGCACAAAATTATCAATATTTACTGAAGAACAATTGGACTTAGCCAGATTGGTTTTTGAGCCAACTAGGAGAATTTCAGTTTTACTACTATTTAGTTTTAGAAGATTCGTTGTGAACCAGTCTTTAATTTCAGCTACACAGTCTGAGAGGATAGACAGAGGAAACTTAGAGGTAGGTTTGGACGACAGGTAAAGTTCAGCATAGCAGTGAAACTGAATACCAAACTTCTTAAAAATATTACCAAGAGGTAAGATATAAATAATAAATAAAAGAGGAACGAGAACTGAGCCCTGGGGAACCCCAGTAGTAACATATGAAGGCTTTGATGTAAACTGCTTCAACTGCACAAATTGAGTGCGACTCGGTAAATAAGATCGAAACCAGGTCAGAGCAGTACCCATAATTCCAATAGACTCCAATCTGTCCAACAAAATACTGTGCGAAATAGTGTCAAATGCTGCACTCAGATTTGTCTTATGACAAAGAAGTCAAAATAATAAGGTTTGAATCAGTCTGATGAAGCCACTAAATGAATGAACTGACTGAATCAGTCAGAGCCATTACTGAATCAACACGACTCACTGAACTGCAAGTTATCTTTTATTCTGTTCTAAAATGAAGCCAAGCTGTTCATGAAAATCAAATTACTACCCAGCTAACAAAATCATGTTCTAAGAACTTTTTGCTAATGTTCCAATTGAGTTATGAAAATGTTATTTCTGAATGCTTTCGGATCATTCAAAAAGTCAAGTTTTTAAAATGTTTTAAAAGCGTTTTTTGTAATGTGAACATTAAGGGAGCATTCCATTTTATAATTTTCCAAACATTAAGGGAACGTTACCTTTGAATGTTCTCTGAACGATCTGAAACAAGTAGTAACATTTAAAAAACGTTAAATATCAAACTAAAATAAAACATTCCATAAATTGTGTATAAGTAATGTTTTTGTGCTGACGTTTTGAGAACATTAGTAAAGCCCAGATAACTTTGAATGAATGTTCTATGAACATAACTGGAAAAAAGTTGGTTCAAAACTTTAAGAGAACCTTCCGAGAATATTAACCACAATTCTGAGAATGTTCCTTGTTAGCTGGGTAGAATTACTAACTAATTGTCCATATGACAACATGTGAAGTTTTTAATAAAGCTCTTTAGTGAACTATGTGGCATTTGAGTGCATTGTGAACAAAGCTTCAAAACAAAATAAAATAAAATCTGAACAGAAATAAAAGAGGAGACTCTCATGGATGGTTCCATGACGTCTGCTTCCTTTTCACTCTGAGCCTTTAAATAAAAGTCTTAGCCAGCATGGCTCAAGCAAAGACTCAATTAGACTGATTCTTTCATTGTGCATGTGCTTTAGGGAAGCCACGTCCCATGTCCATGCCGGTAGACACTTGCCTGGGCGTGTTGGACTCCCCCTCCAGACCCTGGGCTCATGGACGGAAAGGTAAGCATAACACCTGCCTGTGTGTAAACTACCGCTGAAGCGAGTTAATCTCCAGCTGTCAGCGTAAACATTTCACAAGCCCAGTTACATGGGCGGGAGCAGACAAAGGTCAGATAACGCTGTATGCATTGCATTTTTGTCTCCGTTTGTCAGTAGCTCAAGGGGCAATCTCTGTATATCCATCAGTAAACATGTGCAATGTTTTTGCAGACTATAAACAGATGTAGAGTTGTTTTCCTGTTGCTACTGAAGAATGCCTGTTATCATAGCTAGTCAAAAGCAAGTTATCGTGTTGCATCATGATTTTTTTTTTTTTTTTACATTGTTGCTTTGTTCGTAGTCTGGCAGAATGAGAGCATAAATCTGCATAAATTCCACATTGTAACTTATTGTCACATTGTAACTTAAACTTGTCACATTAGCAAATTAGCAAAAAGTTACTTTCAAAACAAGCAGCTTTCCGCTGGAAATCTGTCTGGAAAAATCTTCAAATATGCTGAAAAATCATAAACATGACCAAACCTTAAATCTGTAATCAGTGGCACCATATGCAATTACATGTGTGCCAAAGTGTGAGCAAAAGGAATAAGTTTTGATTATTTTATGGACATAATTGGCTGTTTCTTCTGCTGGATCATGCCTAAGAAAAAAAAAATAATAAAGAAAAATACTTTTTACTTACTTACTTTACTTTTTACATACTTACATTTTCCTGTGATGTGAACTGTTGGACATAGTGGACAAATTAAATTAACTAGTGCAGTATGAAAAGTTTGAAGATACTTTCTTGTCCCACAGGGTTAAAAAATGGCAATAGTAACTGAGCTATGAGAACAATGCAGAATATACAACTCTCACTTTATAAAAATGACTTTGGTTCCCAACAAACTAACAAAAACAACGTGACTCAGCCAATTAGATTGACTCTTGCAATTTTGAAAAGCTTTTGACACTTTTGTCTTTGTCCTTGAACAGTTTGAGAACGCCATCAAAGGTTTTCAACTATAGTAAACAGCTCTCATAAAAGGTGTTTCCATCCTTACATGATGTGTCTCATCTGTCCTCAGGTGACGAGATCTTGCACAGGTATCTGAGTAACGAACAGATCCCCACCATCTCAGAAGAGTCGCCCTGTTACCCGCTGCCCTACCGCCCCACAGGAGAACGCCAGCTCATCCGAGGGGTCGACCACATCCGCGGCAGCCAGTGCTTTATCAACGCAGACCTACACACCAGCGCCACCATACCCTACCAGGAGGCCGTCGCTCGGAAGCCTGCAGCCAAATCTTCCAAGAGACCCCCCTCAGAACCCTCACTGTTCAGCAGCTGGATCGCCCGACTCAAGCTGCTCACACACTGAACATCTGTCCGTCTGCAGTATTATCACTTCAGATCCAGAACGCTGTTGAAATTCAGTTGGGTCAGTATTAAAGACATCCTCAGTGAAATGCCTGTTACTTTATTTAAGGTTTCTTCAGCATTAAGGACACTACTGAAAACTCTTTCTCTGATAAATCAGGTCTTCAAAAGGATTTTCACTTGGAACTGTGTTATCAATAAGTTATTTAATTGTGTGCATATATTGTATTTTATTGATACAGGTCAAGCATATTTCCCACTTAATAAATAGCTTTTTTAAACATATGCTTAAGGTAAGTTAAAGATATGTTATCTCTGAAATGAGAAAAAGACTGTACTTACTTGCATACTGTACATGCAAGAGACTTTTTTTTTTTTTTAATAAATGTGCACATTGACGTGTCTATAAGGCAAGAAAGTTTTTGTGAAATTCAAAATGTATGCTTCAGGGTTGGGAGACTTTCAGAATTCCAAATGGACTCCCTTTTAATACATTTGTGTAAATTTGACAGGAAGTTGAATTTACTGAAATGCAATCTGATGAAATTTCAAAGGTCCAAGGACATTTGAGTAATTATGGCTAATAAGTAGAATATACTTTATTCTGATTAGAAAAAAGAAAAACAACTCACTTCAAATTAACTATTAAATTAACAATCACATTTTTTGTTTTAAATTGAGGTCAGTAAGATTTTTTAAAAGAAATTAATACTTTTATTCAGTACTTTTTATTCACAGTTTTTCTTAACTTTTTATTCATCAAATAATAATTCTAGCTAAAAAATAATGTTTCCACAAAAATATTAATTAACCATTTTCAGCTGTGATAATAATAGTAAAATTTGAGCTCCAAATTAACATACTGGAATGACTTTTAAAGGATCATGTGATGCTGAAGACCAGAGTAATGGCTGCTGAAAATTCAGCATTAAATTAAAATTTTAAATACATAAAAAAAAATAGATATTTTAAATGGCAGTTTTTCACAAAACTACACTTTTAAAGACCCCCCAAACTTTTGAAGGATACTGTGTAAGCTATACTTTATTTATTTTTTGTTTAATATTTGGAATAAATAGACTACTACACCTTCATAAGTTATTCTATTTATTCCATTTGAATTCTGCTTCCTTAAGTATATATTCAAATTACAATTCTGCATGGCATTTACCACCTCACTTCAAATTCAGGAAATGAAATAAAAATGTATTCAATTCTCAATGACACAGAGCCGAGTGAGTACATTTAGCCATATCATAGTGTGAAAGATTTCATTGTGCTACAGTAGCACACACAATAAAGTCTGAAATCTTTTTTTATTATTATTTACTAACTCACATTTCAGTGTGCCAATTACTGACTGTCTTAAATCATATAAATGGTCTTCTGTTGTGAGTTTTACTCATGCTTGAATCATTTCAACCGCTTCAGATGCAAACAAACTGTTATAAACAAGTGGGTGGTCTTAAAACCACCTACTGTAACACTAGAGCAGGTCATTAGCTTTGAGCAAGATATGATACTGCTTGATACTCGATTATGTTGTCAAACACTATTAATAAAGAATGCTAAATGGAAAAATCCTCTCATACCATGGATTCTGGTGCGGGGCAAATGCAATGGTCTATCTGGTATTTTATGGTCTTCCTCCAGAGGGCACTCGCGGATAAGAAAGCCAGTAAAAAAAATGTAAGATTTGGGGCAAATTGTTCAAAAGTAATCTGATCAGATTTTGGCCATCGGATTGGATCAAATTAAAAAAATGGGTTGTTCAAAAGAAAAAAAAAAAGGATTCTGAATTCGGATTAGATCACAAAATCCAAGCTTGGTTTTGATCTGGATTAAATCCTCAGTTTGTGTTGTTCAAAAGGTTTTAGTAAGATTGGGATACTTTGATTAAAGTAAAACCAGGATTATTCTGATCCCAGCAGAAGGGTGGATTTCAGGAACAAAAATGTAATAAAACTTTAAAACTGGTCCAAAAAATACATTATTTGTAACATGTAATATATCCCCAAATCCTCAAACAACTGTCAATAGCAAACAAAAATATTATATTTTAATTTAAAATCTGAAAAAGTGTGTATCTGGATCAGGATGATCCAATCCAGTTTTGCTTCGAAAAACCGGCACAACAGTAAAATGGTTACTTGATCCTGGATAGCAAAACATGGGATTTCCAAAACTAAACTTCTAAACTTTTTGAACAACTGGCCCTTGCATAACAACAACAACAACAAAAAGTGCAGGCTAAATCTATTCATTCCCAAGTTGTATACATAAAATATAAATAAAAATGTCACATTTAAATATATTAATCCAACGAGTTCTACGTAAAAAATAAAACCGTTCCACATTTTTTTTTCTTAATTCATTATTTGGTTATTTATTAGTTATCCCAAACGAGCTGTTTCAATTTGAGAGAAAAACCCCCATCATACTTGACCAATTAGAGGCAATAGCCGGGGCTGCGTTCAGCCCCGACAAAACGGTGCAAAACGTTTTTTAAACGGAAACGGTGGTGCGTTGAACACCCTGTTCTGATGACGCAAGAGTTGCACCTATGGCAGCTGAGAAGGCCATTCTTTGTGTTCTTTTTGAAGAATTTTCAGAGCCTGATGAAATCGGTATAAATACGTGTTTAATACCGCAAAATACGCTCGATGTTACAAACACTGTCCTTGCCGTCCAGAATAAAAGAGAACATCCCAATCGAGTGAAGGGAATGTGGTTCCTAATTATTGTGATCCAATATTTGCCTCGCATTTCAGGAATGAAAGAAAAGGGTCTTCTTATAATGCAATGAAGTTAAATACAAAAGGCGTGATGAAGAGCCGCGCGTGATTAAATCAATTATGCAAATGAAAGGCGTTATTAGAGGCTCCTGCGAGCGTGCAGAGGCGCTTCACAAACACACTGTCTGCGATGTCTGCGAGGGGGATTTTCCGAGGAATGAAACACCTGCAGGTTTTCACCAAAATGAAGCACTGCATTCAAAATAACATAAACGCATCTCAAAACAAACACATTTGCCATAATATGAATTCCTGTTAGATTGTTACATAGAGAATTGTGTTGTGTTTTACAAAACGAGTTTTATGAAATTGAAAACTGAGTCAAAGGCCGATAATTAGTGTATGATTTTGCAGATTTGGTGTGTGGTTCAGGTTTCAGAAATTGTGCGACAAGTAAAGATTTTGTGTGTAAGCAGTTAAAAAAAACTTTATTTTGCCATAATGTAAAATGGTTGCAAACTGTCATGAAATAATGTTGATTCTTTCGTATTATGACGTGCTTTTGAGAGCAATGAATTATTATAAAAATAAAAAAAAATCTGTAAGACAGAGACTTTGTTCCATCATTCGGTTGTTCAATGGCTTTGTTGATTTGAATTTGATTTTAAAAAATGGAGGCAGATGAACACAAGCTCGCAAAAACTGGTACTTAAAGGGATAGTTCACCCCAAAATGAAAAATGTGATGTTTATCTGCTTACCTCCAGGGCATCCAAGATGTAGGTGACTTTGTTTCTTCAGTAGAACACATATGATGATTTGTAACTTTAACCGTTGCAGTCTATCAGTCGTATAATGCATGGCAATGGTAACAAAATCTATGAGAGTAAAAAAACCATGCACAGACAAATCCAAATTAAACCCTGCGGCTCGTGACGACACATTGATGTCCTAAGACACGAAACGATTGGTTTGTGCGAGAAACCGAACAGTGTTTATATAATTTTTTACCTCTAATACACCACTATGTCCAACTGTCTTTGGGTGCGCGGAGGCATCCGGTGCGTGAGGTGTGTGTACGCACTCTGGCGTAGTTTACGCAAGCGCCGGAAGTGATCTCTCACGCGTATACGTCACTCATTGTTTACACAGTGCACAAACATTGTAGGTACGACGGCTAATCAAAATGGTACTTACTTGGACAGTTGGACATAGTGGTGTATTAGAGGTAAAAAAATTATATAAATACTGTTCGGTTTCTGGCACAAACCAATCGTTTCGTGTCTTAGGACATCAATGTGTCGTCACGAGCCGCAGGGTTTAATTTGGATTTGTCTGTGCATGTTTTTTTTTTTTACTCTCATAGATTTAGTTACCATTGCCATGCATTATACGACTGATAGACCGCAACGGTTGGAGTTAAAAATCATAATTTGTGTTCTACTGAAGAAACAAAGTCACCTACATCTTGGATGCCCTGGGGGTAAGCAGATAAACATAACATTTTCATTTTGGGGTGAACTATCCCTTTAATGATTGCATGTGTCCGTTGTTTTCACTGGAAGATCCAGTAATGACATTTTGAATAGAAAATTGAGATTAAAAAAAAAAAAAACTTTTTTTTATTTATTTTTTTTAAAAGACACTTAATCGTGGATTAATCATTCACAAGAAGATCTATAATGCCGGTTTTTGAAATGGAAACTCCACCTTTTGAGAGATTAATGTATATGAACAAAAAAAAGATGACATTTTTATAAATGTTTGTGGGAACGTGTGTTTTTAAGTGTGGTTACTGGTTAAGTTTTTCACCTTTCTTTCCCCTTTCTGCAGTTGACTTAAAATCCTATGACCTGACATGAATTTTTTAAAGTCTGAATATTCCATGTAGCCTCTCTGTGAATATGAACTCATGAAATTTAAATATATAATATCTAACCAAGAATTAGAGCCAAGTCAAGTAACCTTTATTTATATAGCGCTTTTAACAATACAGATTGTGTCAAAGCAACTGTACAGCATTAATTAGGAAAATAGTGTCTCATTAATGCAAAATAATAATAGTAAACACTAAAGTTTCAGTTAAAGGCAGTTCATTATTGAATTCAGTGATGTCATCATCCAGCTCAGTTCAGTTTAAATAGTGTCTGTGCAATCAAGTCAACGATATCGCTGGAGATTAAGTGTCTCTAACTAAGCAAGCCAGAGGCAACAGCGGCAAGGAACCGAAACTCCATCGGTGACAGAATGGACAAAAAAAACCTTGGGTGGGGCAGTTCTCCTCTGACCAGATGAACCAGCAGTTCAATTCCAGGCTGCAGCAAAGTCACATTGTGCAGAGGACTCAACTGGCTCGTGTGGTCTTGTCCCGGTGGCCATCTGAGACGAGGTCTTTACTGGGGATCTGTCTAGAGGGAAACAAATGTTTTGGAATATGACGAATGGCATGTCACACTGCTTTACACGTCATATCAACTATCCAATTACTGTAGCTTCAAAACAATCGTCAGTCTGTGGGGAGATTTTATTTAATGTACGTGGCTATGTAGCATTGTATGCGAGTGTTTTGAAACAGTGAGAGGGAGGATATCGGTTTAAGCGTGTACGTGTACTTGAACTCTCTCACTGGCGTGTGTGTGGCGGTTTGGGGAAGTGAAGGCTCTCTTTAGAGGCAGCTGTGTTATTAGCGCTGTCTCTCTGAGCTGTGGGCGCTGATGGCTGAGTTCACTGCATAATTTAAAGCATTTGTTTTCTTTCCTTGCGCTTTCAGTACCCTCTTCAAGACTTTGCCGGGGAGAAGTCTCAAGGTAAGCCGAAAAAAAAAAGTGTTTCTAACATAGACTATTATTGTTAAGACAAGTTATAGATGTTTTATACTCACTGAAAGAGTAAAATGATCCAAGTACACAATGTACAAAACTAGTGTTAGTGTAATCTTGACCCTGTTGATTGCATCATGCAGACGTGATACTATTATCTTTGCTATTGATGTTTCAAAGTACTGTTAAGAACCCAGTGAGAACGGCACTGCTGAGGACCGATGTCGCCTCATTTGCATGTGTTTGCTTGTGATAGGAGATGGTGTGATGAGCCGCAGAAGGGTCTCGGTGAAAGACCTGGGCCAGGGCGACTGTCAGGGCTGGTTGTACAAAAGGAAGGAGAGCAAAGGGCTCTTGGGCTGGAGGTGGAAGAAGTTTTGGTTTGTGCTCAAGAAATGTTCACTCTACTGGTACACGTCAGACATGGTAAGTTACGTGGTTTTCCCCTGATATGTGCCCTCACTATGGAAAATGTGAACATGTGTCTTGAGAGTTAATTTGTTATCTAGAAACCTGTTGCACAAAACAAGTCGAACAAACTCTACATTTCGAAAGCGGAGTCGCAGCTCTCCCTACTGTGGGTTTGATACGGAGTATGCAGTGAACGGCCAATCTCATGAGCAGTTTGATTCGCAATTCACTTTTCTTAGGAGATTATGAAAAAATATGAAAAGTTTAAACACATTTACCAAGCCTATAAGAACCATTGCTGCTCCCACAAAATTGAGAAAAAAAATATCTGGCTGTCAGTGCAAGCGAAACGTCAAGTTAATAAATTATACACTTTTTAAAGTGCTCAACCAAAACATGTAAGATTAGTCATTTTAAAAACTTTTTATATTAAAGCATTTTATTTATTTATTTATTTATATATATAATATATATTAGTAATTTAAGCTAAAAGCTAATTTATATTATGAAATTATTAGCTAAAGATAATTAATTAATTTTAATTGTCAAATTATATTTTCTTATATGTTCACTAAGCATGCTTTTATAAATATAATATAAATATGGTAATATATAATTTATATAAAATAAATATAATTAATTGACAAAAAAAATGTGTCTCTAAAATTCTTGCACTGATTAATTTGGAGCAAGACGGACAAAGGAAGTGACTTTGTGTCAGAGAAGCGTCACTTTGCTCACAGCTAATTGGTCCATTTTCAGTTTGTGATCTCGTATCCAAAACAAAAACCGCTGCTTCAAATCACAGCTAAATTTCATGAAAGCATAGATATCTTAAAGGGATAGTTCACCCACAAATGAAGTTCTGTCATCATTTTCTCACCCTCAAGTTGTTCCGAACCCGAGTTTCTTTCTTCTGTGGAACAAGAGAGAAGATATTTTGAAGAATGTTGGTAACCAAACAGTTGGTCCCCATTGCTTTCCATAGTAATCCTTCCATGCTATGGAAATCAATGGGGACCATCAACTGTTTGGTTACCCACATTCTTCAAAATATCTTCCTTGTTCCACAGAAGAAAGAAACTTGTATTGGTTTGGAACAACTTGAGGGTGAGAAAATGACAATTTTCATTTTTGGGTGAACTATCCCTTTAAGTAGATTGTAGCAATTATTGGTGCCAGTGGTTTCTACAATGTATTAAGTCTTGCAGTGCTTTTGGGTATCACATCCCTGGTTAGTTGTGTACAGTAAGTTCTGTCTCATGTCAACGAACACTGCTAAAAACCAATCCACCAGAGTTTGTTCAAAACTAATCTTAAATGGGTAAAAGTTCTTTCTGTTGCTTTTCAGGCAGAGAAAGCCGAAGGCTACATCAACCTGAGAGACTTCACCATAGAACAGGCTACCGAATGCAAGAAGAAGTTGTGAGTTCATCTTCCTTATTTAGAGAGATTTTTGGCTGCTTGTGGTAAAAAAAAACCCCAGACATGCCTATTTGCAACATGTGGTCTTATGTCTATTTTTTTCTGAAATGACTGCATTCTGGATGTTAAAGGAAGCATGGCTATAAATGTTGCTCATACTTGGTAACATACAGCAATCATATGCAACGCCCACACAAATTCATAAAAACTCCTTGGGATCCACACAGAACGTCATTGCAAAACCCCAGGACATCCTAGCAACGTCTTGCCAGCCACGCAGAACACACTCACAATGGTCTCTCAAAACCATGCCTCAGAAACCACCTAGAATTGACCTAGATACATAGAGACCCAGAAAGCCATAGAAATGCACTAAAACACTCAAAGAACCATAAGAACTGAGTGGCAGCCAGCCAAACTACACTAGTGACAGCATAGAAAAGCCCTGGAAACTACTCGGAACATCCTAGCTACCGCATAACAAGGAATGCCATTCCAGAGTGGAATCAAATTTTTCATATTTGGATTAAAGATTACCAAGACATTTTTTTTTAACTTGCACAGCAACACCAACAACACCATAATGGGAACACACTTAAAGGTGCAGTGTTTAATATTGACAGCTAGTACTTGAAATGGATATTGCAGTCCAAATTCAAAATATTGGAGAGTTCTTTCTCCCGCCCCCTCCTCCTCAAATTCAATGCTTATGTGGGTTGCCAGATTGAAGACATTCAACGAACCTTACACGCATTTCAAAAGTAGAATAACTGGCTGGCGCATTGTTTTTCAGAGAAACAAGTATGTGAACTTTGCATGGTTCCTAAATATCTGTGAACATATTATTGTATTTTAATGCCTTAAGTACAGTCAAAAAATTACATACAGCACCTTTAACACACTAGGCAACAACCCACAACAGATTGTGCAATATGCCGTTCTCATATATTTTCTGAAGAGAATGTAAAATGGCTATGGATTTGTTTTTAGACTGATGCATTTTGAAGATCTAGTGCGAGTTATCAGGCTGTAAATCAGATTTTTTTTTTTTCACACTGGAAGTGTCATCTATACCCCTCTTAAAGCGCGCTCAGAACACAGGAAACTGCCTGCTCTAAGCATGTGGTCTGAGCTACTGTGTTTTTCACAGACTTCCTTCTTAAAAGACATACAGTAACTGTGTTTTACTTTGATAAATAAGATTGGATGTAGATAAGACGGGAGGCAAACCTTGGTGTCGAACATGTTTTCGGTTTTGTGTAATACTTCCACTACGTCATGTAACCACACATCCACAAAGATACTGTCTCTGAGAACTGCTGGAGTTGTATATGTTTTAATTTGCATTCACGTCTTTCTTATTTTCCAGTGCAATGAAAGCAAGCCACCTCCAAATGCTGACACTCTACTTTGCAGCTGAGAACATGAAAGACATGAACAAGTGAGTGTGAAAAGACACAATTTCTTGTGTTTGTAAATGTGGTCAGAGATAAAGTGCTTGCTGATGCTACACTTATGGAAAAAAAAAAAAACGACCCTTTTAGTCATGTAGCACTTACGCATACATGTGAAGCTTGTGGGTCTGGTTTTTGGCCCAACGTGACATGTTTGCATTGCAGTGTGGCAGGCTGCTTTGGCATCTCGCTGTGACCGAAGCTGTCTGCAGCACATCATGCAGTTGAGCATGTTTGATAAGTACAGGGTTTTGCAGAACTCCAGTACTAAAAATACAGTTTGGATTTCTTAACTAAGCTTTGCTGGTAGAAAGTGTCCAAAAAGTTCTGTGCTCCATTGCAACTATTTTATGAATAGTTTATTTATAGTAGTTCACACAAACATTAAAAAAAGAAAACTTTTACATATATAAAATATTTAAATATCTAAAGAAAAAATGTAAAGCAAAAATGTTAAATATAACAAATGTATGGGAGCCTTCTAAAAAAAAATACAAAGATATTAATTAGCAACAGGGTCCAAACTTTGCAGTTTAATTGCTATTTATTTATTTTTGCCAGATATAACCAATAACTGCTCTGTGGATGCCAAATGAAATACATTTTAACCTCTATTTCTTATTATAATGTGTACATGTGTGTGAAATTCTGTATACTGTACATTTCCAATCTTATGAACACTTGAGTTGTAAAATTAGCCTAAAAAATGTCTATATTAAACATAGCAGAGTTATCTATGGTGTGAGCAAGCTACACATTTATAGTGAATGGCTTAAATTTCAGTTGGACTCTTCCTAGCAAAGCTGTTGTATGGCTTCAGAATACCTTCATATGGACCACTTTTTACAATACTGTAATGGTGCTTGACGTGTGTTTACTAAGTTGTTGTTGGTTTTTTTATGTATGGAAAAGAGCAGCCCCGAGATTCTTCAGAATATCTCATTTTTGTTTCATGGAATAAAAAAGTCAAATGGTTTTGGAACAACAGACAGAAATCGCTTTTTTGTAAACCATTCCTGTAAAGGTTTATTGAAACATGCTGAAATAAACCTATGAGTTGAAAAAAACATTGAGAGAAAGCTGTGGGTGTGCTGCTATTAAACTGTGTGGGCAGAGAACACTCATAATGATCCATGACAATTATTCCACAGGTCTGATGAGGAGATTAATTGTAATTAATGTTCTTTTTAACCTAGATGGCTGGCTAAACTCACCCAGGCTTCAAATGAACCTGAGCCCACAGACTCAACAGATGGAGGTAAAGATTCACACCACAAACGCTTACAGACACCTGGTTAATACTGAGCGTCTATTTCAGTCTAATTGATGTGTTTGACCAAAGCCACCCCTGACACTTTAATAGCTGCACTATTCTGGTATTGATTGTGTGAATATAGAGTGCTACAGTGAGGAGAGTGATGATGAGGATGAAGCAGACACAGCTGAGATGTGTGCGGAGTACATGGATCAGCTGACTCCTGGCTCTCTGCATGTGAGTAACCACACTCGGTCCGGACATGCTACTTTAAACAGACCCATAACCATAAGTGCTTAAAGTCAGCATTTAACTGTTCTATTCATTGTGGATTATATGTTCTATTAATGCCTGGTGAAATGAGTCCCACAATAGTTTGACTGCTTGGTTTGAAAAAAAACAAACGAACAGCTACAACAAAAAAATGCAGTGGACAGATATATGTGTCTGACTCATTTCTACATACACAACCATGTAAATGTTTGGGGGTAGAAATGTATGATGGTTTCCACAAAAATATCAAGCAGCACAACTGCGTTCAGCAGTGATGATAAGAAAGGTTTCTTGCGCAGCAAATCAGCATAAAGGATCATGTGACACTGAAGACTGGAGAATTGATACTGAATTGATACTGAAACCCCCAAACAGTAGTGTAAACCAGCAACTGAACAAATTTTAAGAGAAAAACACAAATTAAACAGAAATGCAATTCACATTCCTAAGACTCGATGCATAAGAAAACACTAAACCTATTGTTAATGGGCATCTCTGTATAATTATTATTTTTTTTTAACAGAATTTATTTGAGATTTTGATAGATTGATGTTATATTTTTAAATGTATTTGTGTGTGAATGTTTCAGGGCTGTCTCCCGCCTCCCCGCTCCTCTTCCTCTCCATGTCAGGACTCGTTCCCGCTGGTTTCTCCGGTGTGTAAACACACCTCGACTCAGAGTGCAGACAGTGAGTCGTGGCAGGAGATTAGCTCAGAGGAAGACCCCATCCACAAAATACTGGAATTCAAAGGAAATGACTGTAAGTGAATGCTGGAATGAGATCTTTTATCCTTACGTGAGCACTGCATGGCAGGAGTCTGAAATAACAACTTTTTTTTTTTGTTTCGTTTTAAAGGGATAGTTCACCCTAAATGCAAACTGTCATCGTGTTACTCATGTACATTTCATTCTACACACAAGTCTTTCATTCATCTCGGAAACAAAAATGCAGATATTTTTAATGAAACCTGTGAGATTTCTTTTCCTCCATTGAAAGTCCATTCACCCAAAACTTTAAATCGGGGTCCTGTTGTTTCCATCCACCTATTTTTATGCGCATTTTGGAATATCGTATAAAAAAAAAACGCTGGATGGAAACGCCAAGATGCACATAAATTCTAAGCATGCACATAAAAACGTATGCACATATTTGAGTAGGATAAACTCTTTATCCGATAAGAAAAGATGCACAAACTGTGATGGAAACGCATTTACGAATAAATTCCGCCATGCGCATTAAAAAAGTCATGTGACTTTGCGCTATGAGACGGGATAACTTGACTAACTCGACTAACTCATCTCATTCACAGCATCGATGTTGTTATAGTCATTATGACGACAGACTTTAGTCAGGCTTTTCAGAATATGTCTTTATAATTGTCTTACACGACTGCGTTCCCAAACAGCTGGCATCCACTGACTGCATTTATTGTGTTTCCTCTGCTCGCTCTGAGGCGCAAGTAATTTATCATATATGAAAATTATTATATTCCGTGGCTTCTCCTAGTTTTCTTAGTGATATTTAGTGCCAGTTTACCAGGAAGTAGGGGTTGAACGACTTTTATGTGATGAAAGTCGAGTCGAAGTCGACTAGTCGCTGATGATGTCATTAATGAACAAATAAGTCTGGAGCTGTGACAAACACCTTGTGCACAGCTATGGCATATGATACAGTGCTGCCCACACGGCTATTGCTCCTAATAACAGCTTTTTTTTTATCAGTTCTTTTGTATTTGGGTCGTTATATTTCTCACATATTTCTGCTCATTCTAAATTGGATGCAGATAAAGTAGCACAGTAAAGATTACATTAATATGAATGCATTAGTGAGACAGCGATTGCGTGTGTGTGAATTGTTAGATTAAAACGGCGATTAACTTACCTGTACAATAAGCTGTTTTAAAACGTGCATTCTCCCGTTCAGTTTCGAGCATCCAGTAATATAATCACACATGTCTTGTGGAGCGCTTTCAGAATATATGCATTTATTTGTCATTTGAACTGTTTGGAAACTGAGCGTAAATGTGTAAGTCCTTCAAAGATTTCTTATCCTGTTGCGCCCTCTATAGGACCAGCGACTAGTCGACGTCAAGCTTAAAGCGTCATGGCAGAGCATTGAAGTCGATTAGTCGGTGCAACCCCTACCAGGAAGTGACTATTTTGTTGTTCAGCTCCAACAACTAATTAAACACACCTGACCTAGCTAATCAAGGTCTTACTAGATATACTTGAAACTTATGCCGAGTTCACACTGCACGATTTTCAAACTCGTCGGATCACCGTTGTTTTCACACTGCGTGACTATCTGGGGTAGCATTCAGTTGCTGCTGTGTTCACATTGCACGATGGATCGGCGACAGGGGGTTACACACTGCATGACTTCACAATAGGAAGAATCGCCGACAGCTCTGTCTGGTCCGCAAACTATGTTTCACAACAAAACGCATGCGAGAAGTGATAAGGAAATAACGCGAGAACCCGCATGCGTCAGACCAGAGTTGTCTCTATTTTGAGACAATTGTCTCTAAAGTTATTTTAAAAAATTCTTACCCAGTTATTGCAAACTTCTGGAAAATTCATGGAAATGTATTGCTCAATAAGTGTGGTAATCATGTTCGTAAGCGATTTTGTTACATTCTCTTCAAACTGGTTTGTAACCAAATACTCTTGTGTTGTTGTTTGAGCAGGCCCCCCGTCTGATGAGATGGAGATGCTGTATCTTCACCTCAAGCAGGTGAGTCTGTCCCCCACAGGAGCCCTGCAGCCTACCACCAAACGTGACTTCAGGTGCTCCTTCATCAGACGCTGCAAAAATGAGAGCATTAATGAGAAACTACACCTGATTCGAGCTTTAAACAGCACTTTAAAGGTGAGTTTGACATTGGTGTGTCCATTCATAGGTTAGAAGTGGCCTGTTTGAGTTCTGAAAGGGTTACTCTAAATACTAATTAATCTACAGGGAGCATGCAAATGGCAAAGATTCTGTAGATTATTAATTGAAATTTTTATTTCAATTAAAGGTACTTTTTTATTAACTTCATTAGTTCTTGTTTTAGTTAACAGTAACGCTTATCTAGATGTATTTATTTATTCAAAAATAAAATTCTGCATAAATTAAAATATAGTAAAAGTAATGAAGGAAACAAAAGTTTTAGTTGTCAAATGTCAGGCCTGTTTTGTGAATATAGTTTTATGTAAACTGCTGAAATATCTGAATTTTGTAGAAACTGGTGTTTGTGTAGTGTACCTTTTTATTAAACCAAAGTTTTTTTTAAAGAAGCCTCTTCTGCTCACCAAGCCTGCATTTATTATCAAGTCTGCCAAAGTACAGCAATAACAGAAAAATTTCTAAATTTGTATTTGTACTATAACTGTTTTCTATTTGAATATATTTTAAAATGTAAGTTATTCCTGTGATTTCAAAGCTGAATTTTTAGCATCATTATTCCAGTCACATGATCCTGCAGAAAGCATTCTAATATTATGATTTGCTGCTCAGAAGACATTTATTATTATTATTATTATTATTATTATTATTATGTTGAAAACAGCTGAGTAGAAGTTTCTTTGATGAAAAGAAAGTTCAGAAGAACTGAAATAGAAATCTTTTGTAACATTCTAAATGTCTTTATCAGCACTTTTGATCAATTTAAAGCATTATTGCTAAATAAAAGTATTAATTTCTATAACCCCCCCACCACCCCAAGCTTTTGAATGGTAATGTTACAAAAGCTTTTTATTTCAGATAAATGCTGATTTTTGGATCTTTCTATTCATCAAAGAATCCTGAAAAAATTTGCTCAACTGTTTTAAATATTGATTAATAATAAATGTTTCCTGAATGGCAAATCAGCAAATTAGAATGATTTCTGAAGGATCATGTGACACTGAAGACTAGAGTAATGATGCTGAAAATTCAGCTTTGATCACAGAAATAAATAGCATTTTAAAATGTATTCAAATTGAAAGCAGTTATTTTAAATAGTAAAACATTTTGCTGTATTTTGGATCAAATGCAGGCTTGGTGAGCAGAAGAGGCTTCTTTAAAAAACATTAAAATTTTACTGTTCAAAGACTTTTGACTGGTAGTGTATTGCAGAACAATGTTGAGAAATAGGAGGAAACATTTTCCAAATGCACTATAAAACTATAGATTTCGCCTGATTTGGAGCTAGAACATTTGTCATAAAACGTGTCACTGTAACTACAGTAAACCCTACACCAACAATCATGATGTGTAGTTGGATAGCGTGTGATTTATTTTGGTGCAAGTTTTGTCCTCTTGTTAGTGCAGTTTTGTCTAACAGTTTAAGATATTTGACTTCCTCTCTAGTGCTTTAAAGTAGAATAGTATCTGTGGTCTGTGCTGTGATATCAAGGGAAACTACACTGACTCACCCAAATGATCTGCTTTGCACCATGTACAGTGTTTAGGTGGAGGCAGGTGGTATTTATAATTCAGAGGTGAGGGGGATGTTTGTGTTCAAGGAAGCGTTAGATCGGACACAATCTCTCCAGTGCATTGTGACTCATCAGACTACATTATATATATATATATGAGACTCGGGGATGAGGCAATTATTTAATTATTTCTGAACATAGATCTTAAGTTGTGTTCTCTTCCAGTGTCAATACTTTACAAAGCCCATTAATTATGTAACATGACATGAGACTAGTCTGATAAATGCCTTACTAGTGTCATTTTTATCTATAAATTTATACTTACAACTTTCAGCTTTGTTGTCATGATTTTATTTCAAAGTAACAGTAAAATGCATACGGTTACAGAAGATTCGGTTTCAAATAAATGCTGTTCTTTTGAACTTTCGATTCTTCAAAGAATCAAAAATGTCATAAATATTAAGCAGCTAAAACCATTTTTAACATTGATAATATTAGGAACTCTTATTAAATAACTGAGCACCAATAACAATTGAGCAGCAAATCAGTATATTAAAATGAAGGACCATGTGAAACTGGAGTAATGTTGCTGAAAATATATTCAAATAGCGAAGTTATTTCAAATTGTTCACAATATTACCGTTTTTACTGTTCTTTAATCAAATTCAGCCTCGGTGAGCATAATTTAATTAAAAGCATTTTAATATCATAGACTCCGCAATTTGACAACGCCACAAACTCTGTTGATTGAACCAAGAATTCCCTTAAGATAGAATATTTGAAGTCTACAAACACTAGATGGCGCTACTGATCAAAGAAAATCATAGCGGCTTCACTTGAACAGTAATATTCATAGATTCGGAAGAAACCGTCATTTTGATTCTGTGTCCGTCTTGTTTCAGGCGAAGGAGGCCGATCTGCAGGCCATAGAGCAGGTCTTGCGTGAACCGTCTCTGAGCGCTTGTAAATACAGACAGTGGCGAGATGCTAATGTGCTCCTGCTGCAGGAGATCGGAGAGAAACACGAGAGAGCCGTGGAGCCACAAGCCCAGGAAGCTCTGGTTCAGACTCAGCCTCGGTGTCAGTCGCTCTTCAGCCCGGGCCCTGTGTACACCGAGACCAGCCTGTGAAGAGCAGAGGACGATAACCGACATCTACAAACTAAAACAGATGGGTGCTGTGTGAAGACGACCACAGGAACACAAACAGAGCGGGGTTTCCAGGACTCAAATGAAGCTTCGCTGAAACACTTCAAACTCCTACTAGTCTGCAGAATGCAGTAACTGCATCATGGAGAAAAATTACCTCAATTTGGATTCATTTGATATCAGTTTTCTCTGAATCGGACACAGAAGAGCCTAGCTCGGTCATTTCTGAAACATGTAGTTACTGCATTTTGCCTTTTGTAGTT